TCAGAGGGCGCCGGCCAGGCGTTCCAGTGTGACACCCCACGGAGTAGCATTGCCCCGGGGAGCCCCAGGAGATGGGTCTGTGGCCCCCTCCCCACGTGAGGCTGGGCCAGCGGGGCAGACAGGCCTGGGGCCTCCTCTCGGAGGAGTCAGCGCCAGTGGCCCTTCTGAGAGTCTGGTTGGAAGGTGGAGTGTGTCTGGGTGAAGTTGGGGCTGCGAGGTGCCCAGCATTGGCACACGGGCTGGTCCTTCATCACACCAAGGCCGCCCCGCGCACCCTTCTGCTAAAGTTGCCCCTTCTAGTCTAGCTCAGAGCATTTTCACGTGTTCACCAGGAACGTCGAAAAGCCCTCTCACGTCGTCAGGCCATCCGGTCGCCGTCACGTGGGCTTCGCCTGGAGAAGCGTGGCGTCACTCCGCGGGGGCAGGAACAGCACACTTGAAGCCGGGCTGCCGGCTCCTCTCCAGTTTCAGGCTATTTCATCTTGCTCTGTAGGGGCGCACCCTGCCCAGGGGGTCCCTGGGGGCAGCCCTCAGTCCCAGTGGAGGAGGAGCAGGCGCTGTGGCCCTGTTCCCAGGGGAGGGCTGACTGCCATTTCCTCTGGACTTTCACAAAGGCACCGATTTAAACTCCCATGGAAAAGGTCCCCTGACGACTTCTGTGCCCCTACCTCCTGTCTCACCCATCACCGTGTGTGATCCACGGTCCACGTGGAGGGAAGGATGTCTTAACCTCTATTGGTGATGTCACAACAGTGGCTGTTAAACTTGGAAGGAGGTTGGGCTGTGGGGAATCGCACTGTGCGGTGGCCAGCAGGGGGGCTGGAGGGGCGCAGAGATGCAGCTGGGTTCACGTGTGTGTTTGTGTGTGTGTGTGTGTGTGTGTGTGTGTGTGAGAGAGAGAGATTCCAAGGCGCAGGGGGTGCCTGCCCGGGGCAGGGGGCGGCCCAGAAATAAGGCACTGACCTGGGCGTGTAGCCGTAGACTGAGCCCCCTCTCCTCCTTGCTTTGGAAAAGGCTTGCCTGTATTCACCTGCTTTCCAAAAAGTGAGTCTGTCTTGAGCCTTTCTTTCAGGATCAGGACTTGGGTTTCAGGTGCACACCCTGTTCAAATGTCCTCTCGCCACAGCGCCTGCATCTGTGTGCACACTTGGAGGGCAGGGAGCCGCTCCCTGCGGCGTCTGTTCTGGGTGCGGGGGTGATAGGCAGAGCTGAGTCCTGGCTGTAAAAGCGCACTTGGCCGGGCCGCTCAGGGAGAGACAGTGCTCCCACTGCATTCTTCCCTCCTGAGAGCGCCACTACCTCCTGGGCTCAACCGACAAGCTCCATCTTAACCTCCAGAGCCAGAGACCCAGGGCTTTGGGGTTGAGCTTGCAGCTGGCAGAGTGAAGTGACTGCCCTGGCCTGAGCCAGTGACAGCTGAGCCCTTCTTTGTTGGCCACCTTTCTCTACTCACTCACAAGCCTCTTCCCTTGTTTTTTCTTTGAAAGGCCCTTACATATTCTCTTCTTACCCTGTGCTTCCTCATGTAATCTTTAGTTTTATCCACCTCGTCCTTTGAGCCATCATCCTGGCAGGCAGGTGCCTTACGTTCTAAGATGTGGATGTGGGTGGATGTCAGTCTCCGTACACACGCAGACATGCCTGGAAACATATACATAAACGTGGGCTGATCCAGGGTGAGAAAGAGAACGCCCTAGTGTTCAACAGCTCAGGAGCCCGGAGTCCTACCGAGAAGGGCAGGGCTGGTGGGGGGGGCGGAGCCGGAGCCAGTGCCTGTTGGACAGCGCCACTCCCTCACTGCCCGGCCCCTCGCCACAGAGCAGGGGCAGGAGGGCTCTGCCGGCTGGCAACGCCTGGCCTCCCTCCAGGGGCGTGAGGAAGCCAGGTGTGACCTGGCCAGGGCAGTGGGCAGCCCCACTCCGAGAGGGCACCACGGGCCTGCCATCCTGAACCTTGAGTCTCAGGAGGCTGGTTAGACTTGCTTTGGGAAAGATGACTCTTGGGGTCAGGCTGGAGCTGATGGGAGCTGCACCTGCCCCAGCCCCCTTGGGGGACAGGCTGTGGTGCTTGTGGTACAGGCCCGAAGGAACTGCAGAAGGCCCATGGCACGGACCCCCGAGGACGGGGTGTCAGCATGGGGCTCCGGGGCATGTTGTGTTTGCTTAAAACATCTGTGCTCTGAAAACAGCGCGAGCCTCAGCACCCAGGAACGACCGCTGCGTGCGTTAGTGTACAGGCCCAGCCTGCCGCCTCGCTGCCCCACCTGCACACGTGTGTTCGCTCTTGTAACTGACCTGGGAACATGACAACGCACACCATTTTGCATCCAGCTTTTCCCACTTGGTATTTTTTGTTAATGTGTCATGTTTGAATAGTGATTGAAAAATCTTATTTTTAATGATTGTAGAGTTTAATATTGGTTAATAATTTTTATCATAATTTATCTGACCATTTCACTGCTATAAAATATTTAGGTGGCTTCTGGTTTTTCACCATTTAAATAATGCTGTGATTAATATCCTCATAAATCTTTGATTTTGGACTCTGAATCTCCCTTGCCCCAACCCTGCCCAGATTCCTAGAAGTGGTGTTTTGGGGTCAAAGAGTTTGTTCATTTTAAAGGTAGTGCAGTGTCTCTTCTCCTCTGTCTTGATCTGATGAGTAGATGCTCAGAGTTCCAGTACAGAACTTCCTTAGTTGTGTTCTGCAGATTCTGAACAAACCAATTTCTGGTAAGCTGTGTGTTCCCAAGAATGTTTGAGTAAGATTGCTCCCCCCACCCCCCTTAATCCTAAAGTGATGTCATTACTGCAGGCCATTTGTGACATATTTTTCCAAAAGCCAGTTTCCTTATTTTCATTGAGAAAACCTGGTTATGCTTGCATGTTACCTTCCCCCCCCCCTGCTGCTATGGCTTTCAAGTGCTTGGTGACACTTCCAGAATCTTGTACTTTGTGTCCACAATGGTACTGAATTTGCATCTGCACAGTCAGCAGAGATAAAGTGTTGAACTGACCTTGCCACATACTTAGTGGATAATTTGTAATGAAGTTTGTAGACTCAGAAAGTACACTGGGCCATTTGGAATCAGCAAAAGAGCAAAGGCTCTACTTGAAACCATGTAGACAATTGGATTTTAGGGAAGTGTGCTTGCCCTCATGTTCTTCAGATCACAGGACTTAGGTCTTAGCAGTTCATTAGAGCATGCTGGCCAGGTTTTTTCATTGTAGAATGTGACTGTCCTGGCTGACAAGGATTTAAGGATTTCTCCTCCCCTCTCCTTGCCCACCAGTGTTTCAGGTTGCCTAGTTGTCTTTTAAGTCCAGACCACCCAAATTTGGCTTCATCCTTAATTTCTGCACTTTAGATTGGGGTCTGTCAATTCTGAGGTGAAACACGCATGAGAGACTTTTCTGGGTGCCATGCTCAGTGCCACTGGACATTGTCAGAGGTTGTGGCCAGATTGTGCAGAATTAGATCTCCTCCCTTCCCTCTGATCACCTCCTTCTGGTTGGGCCATAGACCAGAGCAGAGGCTGAGCAGCTGTGAGATCATGGTGAAGGTACTGTTCTTGGAGATGGCACCATATGCGTTTCCCCATGTTGTTTCCTTTCATACCCAAACCTAGCATGAACTGATGGTGACTCAAGTGGGTGTGGCCCTTGCCTCCTAGGCAGACTACATGGCAAGTGCCTTAACTCAGGGCAGGATTCACTCCCAGAGCCTCTGAGGGGTGCAGGCTGCTGGCCCAAGACTGCAGGGTTGTGAACTAGGTTGCCTGTGGAGATCTGGCCTGGGGAGGAAGCTGTTCAGCAGAGGGCAGTATTATCTGAGCTCAGACAGCATGGTGGGCAAGCCTCCAAGGATACCTGAATTTCCCCCAGACCCATTTCTTCACTATGAAGAAATACCAAACTATGTACAGAGAACTTTTTACAAAAGGCAAACTTTTTTAGCTGTGTAATAACACCCTAGTCTAACCCATCTGGCTGAATACTATGAATAGGGGTTCATTTTGCTGATGAAAAGCCTCTATCGTGATGTTTGATTGGACATCGACAAAATCAAATTTTTGCAATATTTAGAGCTGCTGTAGCTGTTCCTTAACAACACAAAATAGGATGAATCAGTAGTATGTTAGCTGTCTTTCAGGTTGGTGGCAGTCAGTTATAACGTGTAATATTCTCTACCTGGTCTGTAGCTGTAACTGTGATGTACAGGCAAAGCAAAAATTAAAAAAAGAACTTATGAAAACAAATAATGCAATGATATTAGGATATACACTTTTGTATTTTTATTCTTATATAAGGTTATTTGCTGGCTATTGTTGGCCTCTAGTTCAGTCTGTGTTATTTAAAATCTAATATATGAATTATTTGGATTGAATTCATGTTCGGGGCCACGTTGTTGTATGTATGGATGTACAGCCTTGAATGTGAATAATTATTGTAAACTATATTTTACAACTTTTTTTTCTGGCTTTATTATATAAATTTTCTATTTGGTCGATGATTTAATCATATCATAATTTAATGAATCTGTTTATTCCTTTTTTTTTTTTCCAAATATTTGTGCTTTAGATGTAGTTACCGGATGATGAATTTTCCACGTATGCTCGGTAGTCTTGTAATAAAAAAGCATGTAGAGTGTAGACGCTCGCTGACGTAGCTCTTCCTTTGGCCGGGGCGGTCGGGCGTGGTCGGGCGACCAGGACTCGAGCCCGGGAACTGGGTGTCTAGGCATGGCACGCGCCCGGCGGAGGCTGGCGAACCCCTCTCGAGCCCGACACCCGGCTCCACCGCGGCTCGCCCACGTCGGCGTCACCGGACCACGCCGCGCAGGGCTCCGGCCGGAAGAGGGTACTGCCGGCCGCTTTTCCGGACCGGAACTTCCGCCTCTCGCGTGACGCCGGGGTGGGCGCTTTACGAAGGCGGACCCGTGGGCGGGACAGAGCTCGGAGGACTGTATTAAAGACCGGACGCTTCCGGTGGCGAGGAGCTCTGGCGGGGCTTGCTGGGATCATGGCGGAGAATCACTGCGAGCTGCTGCCACCGGCCCCGGGCGGCCTCGGGGCGGGGCTGGGAGGCGGCCTGTGCCGGCGCTGCAGCGCGGGGCTCGGCGCCTTGGCCCAGCGTCCCGGCAGCGTGTCCAAGTGGGTCCGGCTCAACGTCGGCGGCACCTATTTCCTCACCACTCGGCAGACGCTGTGCCGGGATCCGAAATCCTTCCTGTACCGTTTGTGCCAGGCCGACCCCGACCTGGACTCGGACAAGGTGAGGGCCGCGCGGTCCAGTCAGGAGGGTTTGGGTCGTCTTGGTCAGCGGCCCGCCGCACGCCCCCTGCCCCACGCTGAGGAGATTCGCCTCGGCTCCGAGCCCCGCGTTCTCCGTCACCAGCTTGACCCAGGTTCGCGACTCCTTTTCTCGGGCTGGGGAAGGAGAGGATGGCGCCCTGGCGCCCACCACCCTCAAGGATCCCCGGCCCGTCCGTCTCGAGGTGTCTCTCTGTCTCGTCCTCTGGTCTGTGGAGGAGGTTTTCCAGACCCCAGAGTACTGTGGATCTACTTTCTTTCCTCCCTAGATTCTTTGGCCCCTGGTGCGGACACCTCTTCTCCGTCCCGTGTACTTACTGGCCCTGAAATCTGAGAGCCCCGTGTTCTCGTCTTCTCACGTTCCAGACGCTTGTCTGTACGTTGCTGTGGGGGTTTACACCGGTGGCCTCTCTTTCCCAGTGACTTGCATTTAGAGAGTTGGCGCTCCATGGTTTTCAGCCGCAACACGTACCCACTGAGGACTCTGAGAAAGTGCCGTCCATAGAGTGCTTTTTCAAAAGGAAGGTTGCTCACATTAAGGGATGGCTTAGGCGTGTTAAGGAAGGGCTAGGTAGGAAATTTTGTTCAGTCTTCTTTCTAATTAACCTAGTTTTCTTAGTGCTTGCTCCAAAGGATAGGAATCTCTCGGTTGGTTTGCCGATTGTCTTTTATCAGATTAAATGCTCGTACGGTTGTGCAGAAACTATTCTGATGACTACACTTATAAGATTTGTGTGCCTGAAGAAGACTGCCTCGAGCTGAACAGCGCTGGCACTCAGAAAAGGCCCTTGGAAGAACAGTTTTTACCTATATTTTCCCTCGTTCACAAGTCTTATTCTAACTTTCCTGTGTCTTTCACTTGAGCCTACATAATTGCACTTGGCTTGGAGCCTTGCCAGCCCAGCATTTGCCAGGCATAGGCTTCTCAGATTCAGATCTGCTTCAGGATGCAAAGCTTGACCAAGACCATCCTCTGTGTGGCATGACCTTATGGTCAGGAAAGGAGAGCTCAAGTTACCACAAAACCACCAGTCATGGGTAGAAATCAGAGTTTAGGCTGCCAGCTCCTGGGTTCCCACCGCCCCACACACACCCTCCCCCGCAGCTGCCCAGCTGTTTCCATTGCGCATTTGACCAAGCTCTCTGCTCTCAGAGAATTGACCTCCCAGAAAATGACAGTCATCTCCAGGATAGAAATAGGCTTTTGTTAGCTGTGATTTTCCTTTTATAGTGTGGGTGTATGTTTTACTGTTTAAGCAGTGAGCGTTAGTGGTCATTCACTTGCATTTCTACTTGAGCCTTTCTCTTTTGTATACTGAGTCCATTTTTATATTGCTCTTGTCCATTGGGTTGTTTTGAGGCAGTGCTGTCTATTCAGCACTGAGGCAGTTGATTCAGGGCTGATTAACTATAGTTTGCCTGTTAAGTCAGTTTATCCCTTCATTTTAATATCTCAAGACTACTTAAAAAAATTATACTTTATAGTAGTTTTTTGCAGGGGGTAATTTATCAGAGTATAAATTATATCTGTTACAGCTGCTGTTTTTCATCTGTTTGTAAAGTTGGAATTCAGAACATGAAGGTAATGCAGCAGATATGGTTTCTGTCTCACAAAAGAGTTGATAGTAACTATGAGTTAGTTTTAGCCACAGATGTGAACTTGCCAGAAAGAGTAATGCTAATTCCCTTTAGTCATGATAGTAGAGTGTTCTACTTCAAATGAGAAAATGTATAAGGTACTCATTCTCCTCAGTCTCCCCCTGCCCCCCCGACTTTGGTTCTGATGAAAGAATGTCCCAGAGATTCACTCCTGGGTAACAAAATCTTGAGTAAGGAAGTCTTGAGGTTGAGGGTGGAGGAGGGAAAGGGCGCGTTTGGAAGAGTGGGATGCTAGCAGTTATGTGATGGAAGAGAAAACAGGATGTTGATTCACGTGTAAAAATCTCCAAGCCCTGACCTCATAGTTAAGACTGATGGATGCACACCTCAAAGATATGCACAGGGCTGGACGCACCTAGTGGACGATTTCCTGCTGGGCATATTTCTTGTGTTAATTGAGCACTTGGGCTCTCAGAGTAGTGCTTGGGTCATGTTTGGGTGGGGAGACTTAATGGGGAGGAGTTCCCAGACTTCGAAGGCTGGAATCTCTCGGGAGCCTGATGGGTTTGGAGTTTGCTGGGAGAGTGCCTAGAGCTTGCTATTAAACACAGAATGTCTGGCAGGAGCTCTGTCGGGAAGGCCGGTGGGAAAGGTGGTGTCAGGATATTTCTCTGGAGGAGTGCTTTGTTCAGCAGCAGACAGCCAGGTTGTTAGGGGCGCTGGGAGCCAGGCTGTCACTGGGCCCCACTGCTCACTGGGCCCTCTCGTCTGCTGTTCTGACCCAGGCCCCTGGCAGCCGTGACGTTCTCTCTGCAGTTAGCCCCAGTGTGAGTTCTCACTTCCTCCTGGTGCTTCCCCAGCAGGGCTGGGGCTGCGCCCTTCATTTCGGCCTCTGTTCATCTACTGTCCTGGGCCATTTTTCTCTGCCCTCTTCCATCAGGGACGGGCCAGGTGTAGCACCTCTTCCCAGAAGTGCTGTGTAAATACCCAGCATGTGATTCACTTGGGCTGTCTCTCTATTCCACAGTTCCTGGCCCGGTGGCGTGTTGAAAACAGGTTTGAGTTTGTTCAGAGTTGAGTCCGTCCCTGCTTCTGTGGGGAGATGCTTTAAGAATTAGCGGGAAACAGGAAATACTGCTTGGTGGTTGGAAACCACTCAGATTAAGTAGGATTTGCAGGGGAGGGGGTTCATTCTGTGCCGCTGAGCCAGGTCTGGAGAAAACTGCGTTTCTCATCGGCCTTTGCCCTTCAGCAGGGCCCTTGTCCAAGTTTCGGGGCTGCAGGTGAGGGGGCATCAGGTGGATCTCTGAGGGGTGAGCCATCAAGGTGTTTCTGATAACATGCTGTATCTCACACAGGTCTTGGCCTGTGCTGACCCCCAGGTGTTGGCTAGGGTTTCAGGATTAGAACGATAGTGAAAGGAGTTTCACAGACAGGCCTAAGTGACGGGGGTGTGGGTGGAAGGACTATCTTTTAAGCCGCTTGGCAGGAGAAGTGGGGATTACTTAGAGTGAAACGGCAGATTATGTTCTGTGTGACTAAGTCAGAGGCGAAGGCTGTGAGCATCGTAGCCCCACCGAGAGGGCTGAGGTCTGGTTTGAGGCAGGATTGGGGGTCCCCAGAGGCTGTGCGTTTCATCTCACACTTTGCTTGAGTTCCAAGCGCGTCCTCAGCCCTGGCCCCAGGCCTGGCTCAGACCCCTGGCGGGGGTTGTCCCAGTGCAGGGGGGCTCACTCGCTGAGGATGCCGCGGTCATCTCTTCACAAGGCCCCTTGGCCCTGACCAGCCCGTGCGGCAGAGCAGGGGCGTCCTGAGAAAGGGCTTGCTTCTGGGGGAGAGCTGCTGCGGGCCAGTGGACTCGGCCGCCCGGCCGTCCGCGGGAGGCCGGGAGGAAGTGGTCGTCTGCTGCAGAGCAGTTCCTCTTTCTGCCGACAGCTTGGGCGGCCTTCACTCACTCTTGGCCGGCGGGCCAGTGACTGGCCTCGGTTTCCAGCAGCAGTCAGAAAGCTGTGGTCCACCTGCCTGTTTTGCAAACAGAGTTGTACAAACGTAGAGGTGCCGGCTCCCGGGGCTTGGCTGTGGCCACATTCCCCTGGGGTGGCCATGCTCGGCTTCTTTCCGGAGGTGCCTGAGAACCGCAGTCACTGGGCTGACCATCTTTAAACGCACTGACTCTGCCTTGTACCCAGGGCACAGTCTGCGTGGCCAGGGAGCCCGCAGGCCGCCTCGAGCATGGGGCGCTCCCCAGGCCTCCCTTGGGCAGCTCTCCCCAGCCTGCAGAGCACCCAGCACATTGCAGTCTAGAGTTGGTGGGCTGCGGGGGTTGGGGTGCAGGACGTCTTTCCTGGTGGCCAAGTTAGACTCACGCCTGACTTTGACTCCACCCATAACCCAACCTGCCCTGATGTGTGGCAGTTCCTGGACCTCTCTGAGCCAGAGTCCCAGGGGAGTTTGAGGACCAGGGACGCGGGCGTCAGCTCTCCTGCCGCTTGCCCCACGCTGTGTCAGCGCAGGAAATAGAGATGGCACTCCCTGGGCTTTATTTACCTCCGTACATTGTTTTTAGAAAGAATGTCCCAAGAATGCTGTTTTCTTGCTCGGAACTTGTTTTTTGTTCCCGTTTGTCACTTACACATACTCACTCAGGCGTGCACACCTCATGCCGCTGGCAGAGAGTCCTGGCTGCTGAGCCAGCCCCGTGGTGGGGCGTGGACACTGGGCTCTGCAGACCCCCCAGAGGCCTCCCAAGCTGCCAGTTCTCAGGACAGGCCCTGGGGGTCCGTTCCCAGCGCGGCATTGGGGCTGTGCCGTGGGGGAGGGGCACAGTTTCCCTGCTCACGAGAACCTTGATGCCCTCGAGCCTGCAGGGCGCAGCTCCTCCCGTGTGCCTCTGGGGCGGGCTCCTGGCCTCAGGGAGGCTGTGTACCCTGCATCTCTTTTCCCTGTCCGGGGTCCATTCCGGGGGGCTCTGGTGTCCTCAGGCTGGGCGTCCATGTTCCTGGCCAGCTTTGCAAGTCAGACTTAGCTGGGGCTGGCTCTGGAGCCCCTCTGCTGCTGAACAGAGCAAGGCGGGCTTCTCAAAGCAGTAAGGGAGAGGCCGGCAGGCCTTGGTGAGCACGGAGTTGGGTGAGGGTGCAGAGGAGCTGTGGGCCTGCCCTTCGGCCCGGCAGAAAGGGAGGGTGAACTCTGCACTCGCTCCGCCAGCAAGGCCGGGCTCAGAGAACAGAGGCTGCCGGGAGCCAGCAGGGCGGTGCCATGGGGGCTTTGGGAGCAGCGGGTGCAGCGTGAGCCTGCGGTCGGCGTCCTGGCTGCAGTGTCCTGCCTGCCCGCTGTAACTGGCATCCAGGGGACCAGAGTCTCCGGGCCTGAGGGGCCCCATGTCCAGGCTGGCAGAGCTGCTGGGGAGCTTTGTGCCAGGGGCCCTGGGCCTTGTCTGCAGGTGCTTCTGTCCCAGGCTTCCTGCCTGTTTCCACCTCAGGGTGACCTCCTGGCTGCTCGTGCCCACGCTCGCTGTCTCTCCCCTCCCTCTCCTCTCTCTCTCTCCCCCCACCAAGATAAGTAGCATGGCATCTGTAGGGGATTTCTGTGCAGGTGTTCTGTAACTGGACTGTCCGTAGGCAGGGAAGTACCTGAGAGGTCCGAACAGGTGGCTGCCCCCTTGCCTTTGACAGAGGTGTTCGTGGCTCGTGGGTCTCCCCATGGCATCCTGCTCACAACTGGCCCGCACCCTGGGTGCCCGGCCCCTATCTCTGCACACAGTTGATATGGTGTCAGCTCTGAGCGGGCCCAGGTCCTATGAGCCATCTCTGCTTGTTCAGGGAGCTTGGTGTGATTCCCCACACCCCCACCCTCTGGTGGATTGGGAGCACGTTGGTTCTAAGAGAAGAACCAGGAGCCTCCTGTGGGGGTCCTGTCACACATCCTGTGGTTTGCTTCCGAGTGAGCTTCATTGGAGTCGTGGGTGTCACCCTAGATTCTGTTCCTAAGCCACACTAGGACTGCAAGGCACCCAGGGGTCGGGGCCCCAAGAGCCCAGGGCCTTGCTTCTCTTTTGTTCCCTGACTGTGCCGTGGGGGTGCCCCACCAAGGTGCACAGGGCGGCGTGGGGTCAGGGCCACCGGCTCTCCCACACTCGTCAGCGCGGCCGCTACCTGCGTGGGCCTCTACTCTCTGGCTTCTGTTTCCACATTTGGAACTGGTGATGTCTCAGGCCTCTTCTAGGTCAGTGATTTGCCAAACGGTAGAAAACAAAAGAGAAAAGAGGGCAGAGGTGAAGGTTTTAAGTGACACAGAATCCCTTAAATGGATAATTTCAGAGTGAGACGTCTTTCTAATTATGTTGATCGCAGATGTTTGTGCACAGATAACTGCACACTTCTGCATTTAGATTTCAGATGGGTAATTTTGACAGCCCACCTTGTGTTTAGCTGGGGACACTCAACCCCCTTAACTTATAGCCTCCAATGGCCGTGCGTTTCTCTTCCAACAACCGTGATCATGTTCTGTTTCCTGGTGTGTTTGCTGTGGTTGGGAAGGTGGCTGAGAGGAGCTGGGTACAGTGAGATGGTAACAGGATTCGTCTCTGTTTACAGTCTCACCTGAGGGCCCAACTTCTCCACCCTTGTCCCTTATGACCCTTTTCCTTTTTATGGCCCTTTGCGTGGGCAGCTTCCTGCTGTGACCCACGGTGCTTGCTGGGCAGGGCCTTCAAGCCTGCCTGGACTGTGCGGGCCCGGCACAGGCAGGCAGGCGTGCTGCCTCCTAACCAGCACCAGGGGCTGGAGGGGGCGGAGGTAGCACACAGGATCTCCCATCAGGATTCCCCTCCCTGCCTCCCTACTCTGACTGCAGGTCAGGGGTCCCCTGGGTGCCTGTGGCGTAGGCTTCTCCAGAGGAGGAACGCGGGCAGGGCGCTCCTGGCCATGGCCAGGGCGTTGCCTCTGTGGGCCAAGGCCCAGGTTCACTGTTCACTGGAGCCCAAGGCTCAGCCCAGGGCAGGGAGCGAGCAGACAGTGAGAGACGCGTGGTGGGCATGGCCTCTGTTAAATATTCATGACCAAGTTCAGCAGTTCTCTCTTCTGAGACTTTAGGGTGGATGTATATTTAAAAGCCAGCACTGCGGAAGTAGGTCAAATGCTAACTCAGTGAGAAGAGGGGATAGTCAATAAAAAAAGGGTTTGTTGAGCAAGCAATCTTAATTCTGGCTCTTTTACAAAAAAATAAAACCCTCAAGCCTCGCCACTCTATGAATGTGACACAGGCTTGTTAGGTAAACTGAGGGCAGGAGAGAGATCCTCGAGCCTTCCTGCCTGTTGTTTGCCTGGCCGGGCCAGGCGCACGCCACAAGCTTATCCTCCCGACTGGACAGCACGGAGACCGCCCTCCCTGTCCTGTGGCTCAAGTGAGCCTGAGGCTGCTGAATCTGGGACGTAGGGGTCTGCTCTTTCTCTGTGCTCTGTGTTTTTCTTTATTTCTGCCTTAGGCTGGATGCCCCGGGGCTGCTTACACACAAACAGCCTGAGGGCCCAGGGCCCTGGCGCGCCCCAGGTGCAGCCTAGTGCCCAGGGCACAGCTGCCCTCGCCGGCACAGACACACTGCAGCAGCGCGGGCTCCAGCGCGGGCGTGGTTTCTGCAGAGCTTCTGCCTGTGTGCCTTAAGTGAGCATGTACGGTCTTCTGGGCGGGGGCCCAAGATGAAGCCCAGTGGAATTTGGGGGGCCCATGCGCCTTGTAGAATGAGCACCCCCGCCGCGCGCCCCCCCCCCCCGGCTGCTCAGCCCGTCCTGACTCTGGAGTCTCGACCTTGTTTCTTAAGGAAGCCCTTCCGGTTAGAACAGGTGCTCGCAGAGAGACTGGGCCTGAGAGCTGTGTGGGGTCCACCAGGAGGCCGCCGAGAAGCCTCCTCAGGTCCGCCCTGAAGAGGTGGGCCCGTCGCTGCCAGAAGGTGGCCTCTTCCCTGCAGCGTCTCAGGGTGCCCGGCGCCTGCACTTCCAGGGCCAGGTGGGGGTTCCCTCCCTAGAGGGGTTGCAGGGCCGTGCAGCTGGGGCCGGCGAGGCGGCTGCTGAACTGAGTGTCCCGCCCTCAGCTGGCGACACTGAAGGGGAGATGCGTGGAGTGTCAGGGGCCCCCCTGAAGCCCACTCCAACTGGCCCCGTCCCCTGGAGGCCAGCTCAGGCAGTGGGTCCTGGGACCCCAGGGAGCTGGCGCTTGTGCCCTGAGGATGGGTGGGTGCCCAGCTCTGGGCAGCCATGCTCTGGTGCGGAGGCAGTCGAGATAGAAAACGGTAGAAGTAGACGGAAGGCATACATGCTCGTGTCCCCTGGTCCATCCCAGAGTTCGCCTTTCCTCCTCATGGACTTGACAGAAAACCCCTGAGGCCCCCAGGTTTACTCCATGAGATTCTGGGATCTGATGCTCACGAGGGAGAAGGGAGCGCTCGCCCAGCACGTCACCTCACTGTTGAGAGTGGCTCTGTTACCCACAGGCTCACCTCGTCCAGGAGGTTCGGGGGTCCTACTGCACCCCCTCCTAGGACCTCTGCCTCATCCCAGCAGGCGCCTTCTGGACAGGGAGGCCAGGCCGACGCTTCCTGACTTACGAGCCACCTTGTCTCAGCGGAGTCCTGGGGCCCTTGGTCCAGGTGCCGAGGGAAGGGGGCCCCTGTGTGGGGAGGAGCCGCTCAGTCCCCCACCCTGCCGGCAGCCCAGGCCAGGTCGCACTCAGCAGACCAGAGAGCCGTGCAGCCCAGGACACGGTGTCCTGGAAGAGGCGGGGCCGTGGCCTTCCCTGGACGCCAGACGCCGTGGCCCTTGTCCTCCGCACAGACCCTGCCCTGCCTGCGCATCGAGGGCTGCCACAGGCCTCCACGCGGGCGCCCCCACGTGTGGGGACCACAGCCTCCCCACTGCCAGGGCGTGTGTGCCCGCCTCCCTCGGCCACGCCTGCGATGGCCACTGAGCTAACGCTGAGGACCCCCCGTGGGCAGTGAGGGATCAGAAAGACCCTGGCCCTGCGGGGGGAGCAGGGCCCACCAGGTGCAGAGGGGCGCCTTCTGAAGACAGGCCCGGGGAACCGCCTCCTGTCGGGGAGGCGTCCTCAGTGGTCAGTCACAGGGAAGCTCTGTTACCTGAGCCTGGGACCCCACCCCAGCCCTGTCCAGGGAGGAACCCCGAAATGAGGAGGGCAGCCCAGGTCTCCGAGGCCTTCAGACACCGACCCGGCATCAGCCGCTGTCCCGGGGAGAGTGTGGGGTCACTAGGGGGCGGGCCTGACTGAGTGAAAGGTGCACCCGCCTCAGGAGTCCTGGGAGCTGAGCAGAGAGGCCTTGTGCACGGCCCCCTGCCCCTGAATGGGGGTCACCTTGCCGCCACAGAGCTGAGACTCGGCTTCACCTGCAGTGGTGACGGGTCAGGGTCAGCAGCCGCGGGTGGCTGAGGCAGGCGACACTGCTTATGGGTCCCTTGAAGTACCACGAGCACTGATGCACCGGTTGTGGGTGAGACCTCTCTGGCTGTGGCCTGGCAGCCAGCTGCAGCAACCGCCCTGTTGTCTGGGCTCAGCTGGTCTCTTGCTTTCTGCAGGACGAAACAGGTGCCTACTTAATCGACAGAGACCCCACCTACTTCGGGCCCGTGCTGAACTACCTGAGACACGGGAAGCTGGTCATAAACAAAGACCTGGCCGAGGAAGGTGAGTCAGAGGGGCGGGGCAGGTGGTGGGGGCCCTCCAGCCCCCGGAGCAGAGCCCCGCTCCTTCCCCAGCTCACTCCCTGTCCTTTGGGGAGGGCAGCTCTGGCCCAGGGTTCACTGCTCTCCGGGGGTCCTGGCTGACACAACCTGGGGGCCATATACCTCCTGGGGTCGGCCACCCTGGGTCTGCTCCCCTCCGGGGCAGCCTGGTCACCCCCTCTGCGTTCTGCCTGCGTTTGCAGATGCTGGCCATGCTCCGGCTCCCAGCTTGGAGCCGGGTGTCCTGAGGGCCCAGGTCTCGGCCCGTTTTGCTTGTTGAGCTGCGCCCACTCCCTCCTTCATTCTGGCCCATCTTGCTCCTGCGACCAACCTGTCTGCATCTTTTTCTGCAGCATCTATTAAGTGCGTACACGTGTGTTTTGTATGTTTTATTTGTGCATGGGCCTTGGGTTCACTGTGGGGCAGAGACACAGCATTTATTTGATCTGGTGGAAATCAGTTATTTTTCTTTATCCTAGGGGTATTGGAGGAAGCGGAATTTTACAATATCACCTCACTAATAAAACTTGTCAAGGACAAAATTAGAGAGCGAGACAGCAAAACATCACAGGTGAGATGGGCGACTGGCACCAGAACCTTCCAAGCCCTACTTGGTGACAAGGCTCGCTGCCTTCTCCCAGCTGACCAGTTCCTCTGGAGCTGTCCTGGGGCCCTGCCTTGCCCTCCAGGCACCTCTCGCAGTGCCTGCCAGCTGGCGCCCTGACCAGCAAGGAGGGGTGGAGGAAGAGCGAGAGGCCTACACGGGCCTGTGTGTGTAGCCATCATCTTGGGGCAGATGTTGCAGGCAGAGCTCCACAAGTTCGAAGGTCCTGTGGTGGCCAAGTCCTTGGCGCATTTGGAAGGCTGGCGGGGAGCACGGGGGAGCTGGCGGTGGGCTGGCGCTGATGGAGACTGGGGTGTAGGCAGAGCGGGCTTGGCTCTGATCGGGAAGGAAGGGCTCAGTGGACAGCTCTTGATGCTGACCCTGTCCCAAGGGTATGGAGTCCGCGTGGGACCTGTTTGCACGTGGCCACAGTCAGCAGTGCCAAAGCCAGTGTGGGCACTGCACTGCCTGTTGGGCTGGTGTTCTTTGAGGCAGCTGTCTGGCGCTGTCCCTGAGGCAGGCTCCTGAGGGTCTCGGCAGCGGTTCTGTCGTGGTGCCAGCTCTGTGGTGGCTGCAGTAAGGCCCCTGCCCGGGGCCGCTGTTCACGCCTTCCCTGAGAGCCCGTGTTCCTGACTAAGCTTCTCTGCCCTCTCACCGCCCTGCCACTGCCTTCCAAGCCGGGCTTCTCCCCGGGGGCCTGCAGGCCCAGGGCTGGCCCTCTCGGCCTCTCTGAAGAGCTTGCTGACCATCGGCTGCTCCAGGTGGCTGGTCAGGGGCCAGGGGAGGGCAGGTGATGGTGGCCACAGGCTCCGCAGTCATCTCCGGCCAGTGTGCGGCCTCGCTCCCCGCTGCCAGCCCCCTCGGAGACAAAGCCTGTGACTGGGCCGGCCTGGCCCTCTGTGCCTGTGGGGACGTGGGAGAGGCCCCCACGGACAGGGCAGCACTCTGCGCCCTCCCTGTGTCCCAGGTGAAGGCTTTGGGGCCCTATGGGGACCGGAGCACTGGGGCTGCGACCCTGTCCCTGGGGCGGCCTCAGGGCAGAGCTCTGGCCGTGTGCCCTGGGCTGGGAGCGGAGCTGGGTGGAGTTTGGGGTGGGCGTGGGCAGATGGGAAGGCCCATGGGCTCCCGTCCAGCCACGTGCTCCGCTGAGCACGGTCTTCCGGGGGCGAGCCCGGGTCAGTCCTGCCCGGCACTGCCTCTGGGTCAGACCTTGGTGCGCCTCCCCAGGGTGCTGGCGGGACTGCCCCTGTGCGTTCGCATCCAGCCACAGGTGCTCTTGGGGTTTCAGGAACATGACTCATTTTATTTTGGAATTTAGAAGTAGAAATATTTTTGGAGGTGGATGGGGAAGCAGGGCGCGGCAGCTGTTCCAGCATGTTTGTTTTGCTTTGTGGATATCTTTGGGGTTCCTGTGGGCGTCACGACCTGGGCTGAGAGGTTGGGGGGCCCCGTGGCTGTCCCCGGCGTGGCCCCCACGGGGAACGCTCACCCGTGGCTGCTCTCAGGTGCCGGTGAAGCACGTGTATCGTGTCCTGCAGTGTCAGGAGGAGGAGCTCACACAGATGGTCTCCACCATGTCCGACGGCTGGAAGTTCGAGCAGGTAATGGCCTCTGAGCCCACAGGGCGGTGAAGCTTCTGATTACCAAGGCCCTGCCCGGTGCTCAGGGCAGCTGGCTCCGGGGACCAGTAATGAGGTGTCGGGTGGCCTGCGGTTCCTGGAAGCTTGGTCCCCGGTGTGTCCCCCACGTCTCTCACCAGCAGCAGCCTGTGCCAGGCCAGGCTGGATCACCCATGGGCGCGGGGCGTGGGGCTGGGGGCGGCAGGAGTTGGTCTCAGGGTCCCACTGCCCAATCTTGGCTCCACAGTTATCTTTCCTCGTCCAGTCACTTCTTTGTGGTACGACTGTTCCCTGGGCTTCTCTGTGTGCGCGCGCGCGTGTGTGTGTATGTGTACATGTGTGTCCTTGAGTATATACATGTGTGTGCTTCTGTGTGTGTGTGTGATTGTGTATGTACTTGTGTGTGTACATATATCTGTGTCGTGTATATACATGTGTGTGCATGTCTGTGTCTACATATTTTTGTACGCGTGTCCTCATGTATATACGTGTGTTTGCGTGTGTACATGTGTGTGGTTGTGTGCCGTGTGTACATGTGTGCATGTATGCATGCATGCATGTGTGTACCTGTGTGTATCTATGTCTGCGTATGTATGTATATCTGTGTACGCGTGTGCACGTGTGTGTATTGGTGAGTGTGTGTGTGTGTCCGTCCTTGTGTATATAGGTGTGTGTGTATCTGTGTGTGTGTCTGTCCTTGTGTATGTAGGTGTGTGTGTATCTGTGTGCGTGTGTACCTGTGTGTATCTATGTGCTCGTGTGTATCTACGTGTGCGTATGCATGTATACCTGTGTGTATGCCTGTGCACATGTGTCAGTATGTGTGTATGTGTGTGTGTGTCCGTCCTTGTGTATATAGGTGTGTGTGTGTATCTGTGTGTGTGTGTTCCCCACCCACTGGCCTGTGTCTGCCTCGGCCCCCCAGGCCCTTGGTGCTGCCGTTGGCACCAGGGCCCTTCCTGGGGGTGCTGCCCGGAGGGCTCCTGCCCAGTCCTTCCCATGACTGAGCAGCACTGCTGACTCTGGCCTCACCCAGCCGCTTGCTTCCTCAGCAGTGCCCCGGCAGGACCACAGGGAGAAGGGCCGAGAGCAGAGTCTCTTCTACCCGCCCGCCCACCGCCCTATCCAGGGCGCTCTTGACAGTCCTGCAGGCACACTGCCCCCCGTTCCAGGGGCCCGAAGCCTGTTGGGGGCCTCTGCCCGCGGCCAGGGTGTCCTGTGAGTGGGCAGTGCCCCACAAGATCAGTGTCCCTGTCCATGTGTCTCAGGCTGAGACTCTGAGGTTTAACCTCACGACCCCATAACCCCGCTGGCCCTCTGGCTCCTGACAGTGTCCCCTGGAGCAGACTGCCAAGGGGAGAAATTACAGGGCTCCTCCCGGAATCTCTCCTGATTAAGGTGACCCCTTTTAGGGGTGTTTGAAATAATCACACTGTCCTTGGCGCCCCTGTGAGTCGTCATGAAAGGGGCTGGCTCGGCCCTCCTTGGCCAGCAGCCTTGGAGCGAGGAGGCCCCAGCCTGGCTTCCCTGCAGGGTCTCGCCTTCGTGTGTGCTCACGCACGTGTGCTCTGGCCCATGCTCACAGGCAGGACAGAGCACTGTGGCCCCCTCCTGCTCCTGGGCCCAGCTCCAAGGTGTCCCCCAGCACCCTGCCTGCTCGGTGCCGGCTCCAGCACCATGCTCCCCTCCCTTTCACTGCTCGTCCCCTGTGGGCCCAGCCAGGACCCCCAAGAGGAGCTGGGCACGCGGCACAGGAGGCCAGTCCCGCATGGCACGCGTGTGTGCATGCACAAGCACGCGTGCATCTGAGCCTGACCCCAGGTGTTTGGAGACTGTGTTTTCAGCAAGTTTATAAAAAGTCTCTCGACTGAACCCTGTCCCTGGCTTCTCTGGCTGGGTGTCTCTGAAGGCTTCCCTCCCGGTGGGGCTGGTCCTGAGCTGGGGGGTGGCTGTTGACCCACATCCCACTGGTCCTCTGTCCCCCAGCTGGTCAGCATCGGCTCCTCCTACAACTACGGCAGCGAGGACCAGGCCGAGTTCCTGTGTGTCGTCTCCAAGGAGCTGCACAACTCGCCGCATGGCCCCGCCAGCGAGCCCAGTGAGAAGGCCAAGGTGGGTGCGCCGTGCCCTCTGCCCGCGGGGCTGGCTCCCTCCTTCCCGCGTCGCCGCTCACCGTCATCCCTGCGCTGCGGCCTCACGGGCTTCCTAGCCGCCCGCTCTCCCTGTGCGTCTGCTCTGTCGTTCCTCACTCACCCTGGGTGTGTCGGGAACAAAACTCGGGAATGGAGGGTGCAGACGTCCCTGGGCCGTGGGGTGTGGGGTCGCTGGACACCCAGGCCCCCACCCCTGCCCACAGGCCTGCTCCTGAAAGTGCCCTCCTTGGTGGGGCCTGCCCTTCTGAGTGGTGTTTTCTTGGGGACGGGACGTTGAGGCTGGAGGGCAGGGCCTCCATCACCTGTGTGGGGGTAGACGGAGCAGATCTGGTGGGTGTGTGATTCTCTGATTCCACAGAGCGCAGTCTCGGCCTGGCACTGGCCCCTCCCAGCGGGCCAGCGGGCACTTCTCCGCAGAGCAGCTCGAGTGAAACCGGCAGGGAGTGGTTGCTACCTTTGCCCGAAGGCAACAGGTTCTAAGGGCACGTCTTCTGGGCTCATCCCTGGATCAGGACTCCACATGTGTCTGTCTGTGCAGAGTCCAGCGTCGGCGTGGGCAGGACTTCCGAACCTGTGGGCCAAGTGGTGCCTGGACGACCCTGCAGCTGGCTCAGGGGTGCCCAGGGGCTCTGTGGCGGCCAGCCCATGAGGCCAGGCCTGCAGACGGCTGTCAGAGGTGTTCTGAGGGAGTGTGGGAAAGGTCAGAGTCAGGAGGGTTTTGACTGATGACATTAAACTACGGCTCCCCGGCCTTCCCCACACTCTTGCCCAGAGGACACCCCATCTGCTCCAGGCCTACAACTGTTGCCGTGAGCCTTTCAGGGTCTTCCTTGGAGGCATGCCCACAGTCCGTGGTGGCCGTTCCCCTCCTTCTCCAGGAGCTGCAGGCACCTCCTCACCAGGGCTCCACCGGGGTCTGGAGGTGAGGGACACTGGTGGCTTGCCTGGGTGGGGCTTCAGGGGCTCGGAGTCGGCCCACCTCCCGAGAGCCCCAGCCTCCAAAGAAGCCTCGTCTCCCTGAGCGTTTGCAGGGCTCCTTTGTAAGTTGTCTGTTTTTAGCAGCTTTTATTTCTGAACTTGAAAAATTCTCGTAGCCGAGCTCCCCAGGCAACCACTTGGTTCATCGTCCTCAGGTGGTTTTCAGCCGCAGGAGGACGCGTCTGTGCCACCGGGTGTGACCCCAGATCCCTTTGCCAGTGAAAGTGCAGCCCTGTTTCTCTCTCCAGAAATACCTGGCCCTGGAGTGTGGTCACCGCAGCAGCTTCTAAATGGGGGTGGTAGCAGAGGGGGCCTCAGAGCTGTGGGGCATAGTTGGGGGCACCTGCGCGCTGTCTGGGGGTAGCAGTGCTGTGTGCTCCGAGGGCCCCATCACGGTGGCCCCTCTGGGCCACGGCCGGGCTGGCCTCCCCCACACTCACGTCTCCGGGGAAGTGACCCAAGAGAGCGGGGGCGGGGCAACCGGACGAGGGGCCGAGGGGCCCAGGCGCCCGGGTCAGGCACGGCCGCGTCACTCAGAGCTCGCTGCCCGCCGTTACGCGCACAGGAAGCTTGGCGCGGATGTGGGGCAGAGGCTAGGAAGTGGGCCCACCTGGAGTTCACACTCAGCGGTGCCCCTTGGGCCACGGGGCCCTGCCCCCAGGGACGCACCCCCAGTTTCTGTGTCCAGCCAGTCTGCGGGGCTTGGTCAGGTAGGCGTGATTGATCCGTGGATCAGTAATTGATCACCTATGTGCCTGATCGCAGCCTCCAGCCCCCCGGCCAACTGACCCCACCCCCATCACACGGTCAGACTCTGGTGTGTCCTGGAGGTCATGGCCTCCCAGGAGCCGAGGGTAACGACCAAGCTCTGGGCCTGGCCCAGTGCTTCACGACGAAGAGGGAAGGAGAACTCTGCAGCTTCAGGGGCCCAGGGACGGCATGGCTCGCTCCGCTGTGGCCAGCATGGCTACTCCGAGGAGTCTGGCCCGTCTGGGTGGGCTCCCCCCGCCCCCGCCCTGCCTGCACTGAAGGGTGGGCGCCCCCCGCCCCGCCCACACTGACGCGCCCTCTCTTCTTCTCCTCCCTGCCGCCCGCCACGTGCCGAGCCAGAGTGACGACGAGGACACGGGTCCCGGTGACAGTGACTCAGATTAAGTGTAAATGTCACGGTGAGCCTGCCATCCTCGAATCTGACCACGCACCTTTGCGTCCTTGACTCCCACCTCCCCCGCCACGTCTGTCCACACCTGTAGTTGACAGAGGCCCTTCCGTGCTCAGTACCAGTGCCGACCTGTCCGGGAGCAGGGCTGTCTGTCCCCCGGAGGATGCCCGCATGGGGGTGGGACCTGGACCGAGCCCCCGGGCGCTGTGTGTATCGGCTTGGGGGCGCAGCCGGGCCTCGGGCCTGTGCCTCAGTCTCTCCACCCTGTCCCAGCCAGTCCCCGGGCTCAGGGCCGAGGAGTTGCTCTTGTGCCTCAGAGGGGGGCCCTGACGCCCTGCTCGCCACACCTCATGAGGCTTGCTGGTGGACAGGGGTCTGTGCCGACCCTCTAGTTGGCTGTTTCCAGAGACCCCGGGGCGCCCCTTGGCCCCGCTGCTCGTCAGGCCTCTGCTGCTGCCTGGCCAGAACCTGGTCATCAGCGAGTGCCAGGCCTGCCCCCTTGCACGGCCAGTGGAGGTGGAGCTCTGAGGAGCCAGGCGCAGGCATCTCCCGGGGTCCCCTGAGCCCTGAGGTTTGGTCTGGGGGTGCGGGCCAAGAATGGCTTCTTCGTTGTTAGTGGTGGTTTTTCTGGTGGCTGTATGAGTACATATCCTCAGTGTGCCTCTTGACCCAGAAATCGTGTGGTGTCTGCCGCCTGGCCTTTTGAGCAAAGTCTGCAGGGCCTGGTCTGGGCCGGTGCAGCGCGGGCTCCAGCTGTCGTTTTAAACTTTCCAGCGTCCATGTGGACAAAGAGAAGGGACACGGGGAATGGGTGCAAAGACCGTCAGCTGTCACGGGCCTGACACTCGTTTCACCCAAGAAATCAATGAGGGGTCTCACTTCCCTCTTCTCAGCTGGAGTCAGGCGTGCAGTTTGCGGGTGGGGCCCCTCTCACCTCCCGGCCGGAGGTGAGCCACCCTGGGGGTGCAAGAGCGCAGAGGAGCCAACCTCCCGGAGGAGGGTGGGGCTTCTTTCAGCACCAGCCTGGTTATAGCTGTCGGGTGTGCCGGCAGGAGACCCTAACTCCGGGCGTGGCCCACTGGGAGTGCTGCCCTGGACCTGGAGTGGCCCCGGCCCTTGGAGGCCGTGCTGCTGCGTGCCAGGCTCGGCCTGCTCTGTGCCTGTGGTGGCTGAGGTGAAAGCCCGTCCCGGTAGACGGACCATGCCCACCACAGCTCCCGAGCCGGGTCTCCGCCCTCATGTGCAGACAGTGCTGGGGCTCTGGCTGCAGCGGGCTGCTCCCTCCTGCGCAGTCCCTCACTCTCAGCCTGCCTTGACCTTTCCACGTCTCAGCCCTGTGAGCTCAGACGCCCGCTGCCCTGCTGGCCTCCACGGAGTGGGCAGCTCGCAGCCCTCCAGACTCCAGCTTTTCGTGCTGACTGCCACGGGGCTAGGGCGAGTCCAAGTTGGGGGCTTGCCCTGTCCAGCCTGAGGAGGGGCCGTCTGCCCATGGCCCCCCCAGCCCGGTGGAAGGTGCACCTCCTGGGTGGCCGGTGGTGGGCAGGGTGGGAGGGCGGCCTGGAGGCCCGGAGCTGTCGGACGCCGAGGCAGGCGGGGGCTGTCGGGGTTGGCCGGAGAGCTTGAACTTCTGAGTCACTGGAACACACCCGTGGGGCGTGATAGCTGGATGCCTGGCTCCGGGCGGCTGTGCTGGTGGGGAGCCGCTGGCCTCGAGACAGCAGTCTGTCGGTGCCCACAGGGCCTCACCTGACTGGCCTCCGTGTGAGCTTGCCCTGCCAGGCACGGCCCGAGCGCAGGGGGTCCAGGGCTCAGCACCGCTCTTCAAGGCCTTATCTCTCTCAGCTCTGAAACGCAAGTGGAAGATGCCCCCAGGAGGCCTCTTTCGCTGCCAGTGAGGTCGCAGGGAAGGTCATCTTACCGCTTTGGCCTGGGCTGGGTCAGCCTGGCCGGACAGTGGCCTTCCTGTCCTGGTACCAGGGGTCAGAAGTGTGTCCCAGTCCCGTCTGGTTACAAGGAGGGAGCTGGCCCCCCAGTCTGGGGGTCTGGTTACAGAAGGCAAGACTCAGCCAGGCAGTGTATGGATGAGGGGGTGACAGGCAGGCCTGGGGGCCGGGTGGAAGGGTGTGGATTGCAGTGGGGCATGGAAGGAAAAAGAGGCCGGTTGGGCGGGGGCCCTGGTGGCACACCTGTGTCTTCCAACTGGACCAAGCTGGGCTGGAGAGAAAAATCAAGGTTTGGGGGCAGTTAACCCCCAGATGGGTGCTGGCACCCTTGGGAGTGGGGAGCCTCCCGCCCTTGGGAGGCCGTTGAGGGAGACAGCGCTGGGATCCTCTGGGCCTCAGTGAGGAGCTGTCCCCCGGGGCTGCGCTGGTGAGTCTCAGGCAGTCCTGGAGGCGCCGTGGGGATAGGCCCGTGACTGCCCCGGGCGTGGGCTCACTCTGTGGTCTCCTGCAGCCTCCATGCATCCATTGCTTCCCGGGTCGCAGCCCACAAAGCTGCCTTTCTGTTCACGGCCTGAGTCCTCACTGTCTGCCTTTGGCATTTTCAGATTTTGCAAGAACGGGGCTCAAGGATGTGAGGAACAGTGTTGAAGCTGAAGAGACGTTTTACCTTTTCCCAAGATGCAATGATCCGCCATGTCGAGGAAGCTTGGCCGTGGAAGAAACGTGCTTTTGACAATTTCTCTAGAGATTTGGGTGTGAATGCTTTTTCTGCCTCTGAGGTGGGTGGTGAGAGACGGGCCCAGCTGTCCGAAGCCGGGCATTGCTGCGTGCAGGCGGCTTCTGCTGCGTGGGCATCTCTGCGGGGACCTCCGCTTGGTTTCCCAAGTGCCGCTCGGGCCCGAGGCAGGGCTCCTGACTGACCCTTACATCACCGAAGATCATTTCAAGGACTGCGTTCTTGGTGCTACATAAACAGTCTGTAACGGAGCCTGGACCTCGCTGGTAGGAGGTGGGCACAGGGCCCCGGGCTCTGGGTGCCCCCGGCCACCCTGGTCCTTGGGGCAGGGGGTCTGCTGTGCCTCGCAGACGTGGCGGCTTGGTGGTCTCTCCCGACCTCCGCGTGTTCACTACTTCCCGGGCCTGACCCGGCCCAGCCAACCCAGGCTTCTCCGTTTGTAGTTTCCAGACAAGAGACTGTGGCGTCCTTTCTTTCCCAGTATGGACAGACTGCCAGTGCTTTCACTTCCTAGAGACACCTGAAAGTGCTGCTGCCTTTTGGGCAGATCTGTTAGGTCATTTAAAGGGAGGTACAAGTTTTGCCTCATCTGACCCGCCCGGGGGCGTGGGGGCAGCTGGCGCCCGTCAGTGCCTTGGTCTCGCCTGGGCTGGAGGGCGGGGCGGGAGGCCTGTCCACGGGCTCCTGGAGCTGAGACTCCAGGCCACGCTGGAGATCGGGTGTTTACAGCGCACACGGACGTCCTTCTGCCGGCTCGCGCTCTCTCGTGTAACTATGCAGTTCTCTGACATTTCTGGGGCGCTGGGGAGGAGCCTGCACAGCCTGCCCCCGCCTGACGCTGGAGCTGCTGGATTGGATTCCTTTGAGGACGGCTGTCCGCACGCTTTGAGAGCTGACCTTCCCCAGCGGGTCGGGGGTCCTGGCTGTCAGGAACCTGTGCCCCCATCCCATCCAGGCGCTGACCTGCCTGGCTCCAGATGCTACCGGAGGCTTCTCGCCTGCCCCTCTTCTTCTTTGCCAATATTACCTGATGAACCAAGTTCTCCAGCACTAGGACTTACCTCCTTTTGTAAGGTCTGTTGTGCGTGGTTCAGCGTTTGGCTTCACACCAACCTTTCCATAGGGCACACTCGGCCCCGAGACCCGCCCTCCCCGCGGAGCCTCGGGGACACCGTGGGGCGCTGCTGATTGCTTCGCGTTGTTTGATTTGTGACCTTGACATAAATAGATAGGCTTGTGGTTTGTTTGTTTTTTTTTTTAATTTAAAGATATTAAGACTTAATTCACTAAAATTTATTCTAAGGGGATATTTATACTTTTGTACTTTTTTAGGTATCCGTATTTTATCAGCTTACAGTTTAATGCCTAAGTTTCCCCTGAAAATAGCAAATAAAATTGTGTATTTATGACTGAGCAGAACAGCTGTTAGTGTCTTAAAGCACACGGACGACCCGCTGCCGCGGAAGCACCGCCTTGGGCTCACAGCAGCTCTGCCGGCTGCCTGGGTCCCTGTCCAGGCCAGCCCCCGCCGCCTCACCCAGCTCTTGTGGAATCGTTTAAAAAGTGCCGATGCCTCACTGAGTCAAGTGTGTGCACATCTTTCCCTGGCTGGAAGCACCAGCTTCAAAGACAGTTCCCTTAGCGCCCCCCCACAGCCTCTCCGGCTCCCCCTGGTGGCGGCTCCTCAGGCTTTGGGGAGGTTCCCTGGACAGCAGCCGCCTGCTGGGCTAGGACGTCTGTGACCCTCAGAGGCTGCTCTCTGGCTGCCTGTTGTGTTTCCAGTGCCTGCTCAGCTTGAGTGGGACTGCCTGCAAGAGGGTGGGTGTGGGGCTCCAGGCGTGCCCTGGATAGCGGGGCACATGGGGAGGACTTCAGATTCTCCAAGGAGTTTGCTTTCTGCAAGGACTAAACGTGCCTTCTCCCAGCTCCCTGAGGCCAGCAGCAAAGTTGGACCTGCCTCCAGGCCCCTCTGCCCGGCAGGTGCTTGGAGACGCCCCAGAGCAGCTAGTCTTGCAGCACGTGCCCATCTCCTGTCTGAGCCCAGGGCCAAGAGGAGATGGCGGTCCAGTCTGGGGCCTGCGGCCGGGGGCCCCTGTGCTGGGTCCTCAGGATGGGGTGGGGCAGTTGGGGGCACACCGCCACCCACACTTCACAGCTCTGAGCTCACTGTGAACGGCGTCAATAAAGTCTCTTCCCCTCCCGTCTCCTTGAGTGTCTGCCTGGGTCTGGGTGGGGCTGGTGTCTGGGAGCCCAGGACATGGGGGACCTGCCCTGGAGTCACATGGTGGCCGCCCCGTGGCAGAGGCAGGAGGCTGGTGGGGTGAGGGAGACCCCAGGGCACCTAGAAAGCTGGGACAGCAGGCAGGGGGAGGTGGAGATGGGGTGGCAGGCCCTCCAAGGGGAGCCTAGTGCTCCTCGATCCCCATATGTTTGTTCCTGTCTCCGTCCCCAGGGTCGGGCTGCAGCAGGTGCCTGCTAAGTGCTTACTGGTTTGTTCCATAAACAGCCAGGCCCGCGTTCCCCTGGCACTGGCCAGGCCAGCTGGGCCCATGCACGCAGTTGCATGTGTGTGTGTTTTTGTGCGTGGACGTGCACTTGTGTGCGTGTCCACGTGAATGTGAACTGCAGTGTGTGTCTGCATGGGTGTACGTGTGTTGTGACCAGCATGTGGGCATACGTGTGCGGCATGCAAGGCCCAGGCTCCCAGGTCCACTCATGGTCACTAAGCAGGGTGGGAAGCCGCTGCCTTTCAGGAATCGGCCAACACCGGGCAGCGGACTGGCTGGCTGCAGGCCTGCTGTGGACACATGGGCCAGGCGGAGAAGCCGGGGTGGCCTCCGGGGACAGCCACACTGTCGCGGCCGTGATGGGGTCGGAGCAGGCTGCGGGCCTGAGCTCTGCGGCTGCTGGATTCCCAGGCCAGGCCGGGGGGGAGTGGGGTGGGCTGGCTGGTGGGACAAGGGGCGTGAGGGGCAGCGGTACTGGGGCGGGGGTGCTGTGGACAGGGAATCCCCAGGGATCCTCACAGAAACCATGAACGACTCCGGCAAACACGATCTGAATCCCAAACGTGGAGGAAAGGGGATGGAGGGGGTCCCGGCCTAGGGAGCTGTTGCTTGTCTCCTGGGAGCCTGACCTGCTGACCTCCATGCCCCCGCTGTGGCCTGGGCCTCCCTCTTCTGTGTGACACCATCCGAGCCTGGACGGCACCGTGCGGACTCCAGGAGGGCCCTGCCCACCCCTGCATCCCCAGGTCTGGGGGTGTTTGGGCTGTTGGGTCTGTAGGGTCCCCGGGTGCTTCCAGGTGGGTGTGGGGCCTTGCCAGACGAGTTCACCGTCCATGCCGTGACCCGGGAGGCTGGTGGGGGTGCTGCCCAGGGTCACGGGAGACAAACGGGCTCAGAGGGACCAGTGGCTTGTCCAACGTCTCCCAGCTGGTGTGGACCCCGACTCCAGCCCCCCACCCCCCAGAACTTCAGATTCACCTGTGGGGAGGTTAACATGGAGGGAAGGAGGGTGTGGAGGAAAGGAAGCTGGGGTTTGAGGGGCCCTGGGGCTCCGGGAGCAGCCCCTGCCTCTGCACGCAGCTTAGCCTCGGGTGCATCACCACGGGACGTTGCTGGGCGATTCAGACGGGCAGTGGGGGTTGCTCCCCAACGCCCCGCAGAGCCCCCCTCCTCCAGAGCTCTGCTGGGCCCCCCTGCCAGTGTCGGCTGCTGTCCCCAGGGCCATCCCCGCGTGCCTGTTGGTGACACACGGTGACAATCAGGTTGGCAAGGACACAGGTGGGGGGGGCGGGGAGGCCGCCTGTGTGGGGCTGGGTGATGGCCAGCCTCGCCCCCACACCCCTCCCGAGCACCAGACCCCCCGCCCTGCCCCCTGAGGGGCCACGCCCAGGCAGCCAGCCCTGAGGTTGGGTCTTTATTGCAGAGTCAACATAAATAAAAATAAGCGGGAACTTGAGAGGAGGGGGAACTGGAGAGTTATTTACAAATGTACATCGTGGACCTGGGCAGCCGCTGCCCGGCCCAAGCAAGGCTCAGAGCAAGGCGAGCAGGGCTGCGAGGACCAGGAGGACAGCTCGGGCGGCCGGGCAGCGTGCGGAGTTTCGACCAAGGGGCTGCAGGTTCCGGGGGTCCCGCTTCTGGGCACCGCCCGGCCCTGCCCGCTGGAACTGCAGCTCTGGGATGATCCGGTGGATCCAGTCATGGTGGGAGGTGAGCCGGATGTAGACACCTGGGCGGTTCCGGCGGGCGCAGCCCTCGCCCCAGCTGATCACCCCGGCCTGCAGCCACACCTGGCCCACGAGGCACACCAGAGGGCCCCCGGAATCTCCCTGCGGCCGAAGCAGAGGTACCTGTTTCGGTGCATGCGGGCCGACAGCTGCACGGCTCACTGCCCGCGCCTGTCTCCCTCCCTTCGCTCTTCTCTGCCCAGGACACCCCCCGCTCCCGCGGTCCTTCCTCTCCGGCCTGGGGTGCCCATTTCTCTAGCATTGCCACACTACCCACCCTGAATCACCTAGAGAAGTGTCTTGAAAATGCAGCTTCCTGAGTCCCACCGCAGACCCACTGACTAACTCCCCCAGGGGGAACCCAGGAGCCTGCTTTGCCAGCTGGTCGAATGCACAGCTCTGGTCTGGGCCCTGTGGGCCCACCTCCTGGGCCTTGTCCCTTGTCCCAGGTGGGCTGGTTTCCGCCTGGGGCCCCGGGGACAGGGCCCAGCCTCGGCCCTCCCCGCCCCAGGGCCCACCTTGCAGGCGTCCTTCTTGCCCTCAGCGAAGCCCGCACACAGCATGTCGTCTTTGATGGTTCTGGGCTGGAAGCCGGACTCCGCATCCTTGCTGTAGAGCAGGTTGCACTTGGGCGTGCCGATGATGGGCACGGCGAGCTTTTGCAGGGTCCGGGGTTTGGGCAGGCTGTCTGCGGAGGGGAGATCCAAGGTGTGGCTCGGGACAGTCTCGCCGTGGGCCCCAGGCCCTGCTTCTTAAGAGCCGCAGCTCTGTCCCACCTGCTTTTTTCTTGTGTTTTTAGATCTTCTTTCCTGGCTGGAGGCTTTGTAGGACAGAGTTCCTTCTTCCCGCCTGCCACCCACCAGGCCAGGCTCATTCTGTTCCCTGTGGCTCTGATGCCCTTTTCCCATAACTACTCCACCCATTTGAGTAGAGATCTTGTGGGCCTTCCTGATGGCTCCCATGGTAAAGAATCTGTCTGCAGTGCGGGAGACCAGGGTTTGATCCCTGGGTTGGGAAGATCCCCTGGAGAAGGGAATGGCTACCCACTCCAGTATTCTTGCCTGGAGAACCCCTGGACAGAGGAGCCTGGCGGGCTACAGTCCACAGGGTCACAGAGAGTCGGACATGACCGAGCGACTAACACACGTGCAGCAGTTTCAACAGAAGATGGTTGGTTCAGGGTGGCCCCCAAGCTGCCTTCTCTAGGCGTGTCACCCATTCTCTCCCCTCCCTGCCCCCAGTACCTTGTTCACTGGGGCTGCCCCAGCCGGTGACCCAGCAGTTCATGCCCGTCTCAAAGACGACCGAGGGGTCAGGCACACACACGGGGAGGATGTAGTTGGTGAAGGTCACAGGTGCCTCCAGCTCCACCAGGGCCACGTCGGCGCTCGAGGCCATGCCTTGGTACTGGGGGTTGCTCTCGACCCGCTTCACCCGGGCATACACAGCGTGTGGCCCTGGCCTCGCCAGTTGCAACACCCCCAGCAGGACCTGGTACAGGGGTGTTTCAGAGGTGCTGGTGGGAGAGCAGAGACCCGGCGTGAGGCCGCCCTGGAGGCGTCAGTGGAAGTTAAGTGGAGGTGAGAAGTAGGGAGGAGTTGGACTTCCTCCCCGCTCCCCAGGGTGCTGACAGCTCAGTCTACACTTTGTCTTCCGGAGCGCACTCTCCAGGGGGTTGTACTACGGGATAGGGTGGGAAAGGGTGTAAACTCCAAGCAGCCTTTAATTCCTAGCTCCACCCTGGCGGGCCCAGCCACCTCGCGCAAGTCACCCAGCAAGTTCTCTGTGACTCGGTTTCCTTGTCTGTAAAATGGGGACAGTAACAGCCCCCACCTGAAAGGCTGTGTCTGTGGGGGTCAAAGGAGGTGATCACCCACCGGGGCCCAGCCTGAGGCAAGTGGCCTGCTCCCTCTGAGCCTGGATTTCTGAACTTGAGATGTGAGATTTTAGAAGAATTCCAAGAGCTGTGGTGAGGTGAGAGCTGAGATGCCTGGACAGCCCTGAAGGCCAGGACCAGGTGGGCCATGGCGTGGCCCTTTTGGTTAGGGCCATTGTAGGTGACCTCGGAGTGAGGAGGAGGAAGGGCCATTCTGCTTCGTCCACCTGTGCCCAGAGCCCCAACCAGGAAGGGAGTGTCTGGATGTGAGGTGTGGGAGGAGACGAGGCAGGCAACGGGAGGAGC